AATCCAAGGCAAAGTTGGGCGCAGTGCCACATGCCTGCGATCCAGCAGCTGAAAGGCTGAGGCAGGAGGATCTCAAGTTCAAGGCCAGCCTCAGCAATGTAGAGAGGTCCCAAGCAACTTAGTGAGACCCTGTCTCAAAATAAAAAGTGATGGGGATGTGGCCCAGTGCTTGTCCAGCACACGTGGGACCCTGGGTTTGATCCCGTACCTCGTACACATGCAGAAGCGGGAGAGGGCAGCAGACAGAGCAGGGGCTCAACCCCAGCTCTCCTCTGTGCTGTGTGACTGGGCAAACTACTCAGCCCCTCTGAGCCTGCTTTCTCCTCTACAAAGAGAAGCTAAGGAGCTGGAGGCACAGCTCCACGACAGAGTGCTCGCCTCCAATGCTGGAGGCCTCAGGTTTAATCTCCAGCTCCACAAAAAATACATAAATCAAGTGAAGCTCAAGGCCGGGTGTGGCTCGGCCAGAGAGCGCTGCCTGGCCTCTGAGGACCCGCATTCAGTCCCCAGCTCGGCCACAGAACAGGAAGTGAAGCTGACAGCATCGCCACAAAGAGTCACCTAAGACCTGACTGCATTTCAAAATGTCACGTGTATGTGATGGATGCTTCACTTCTCAGTTCTGAGGACAACCAGGGGAGCTGGCTGTGCAGATCCCACGGCGGCTGGGCCTGGCAGGCAAGAAGGCCTCTCTGCTGCTCGAAGCTGGCCAGAGCAGGGGTGCGGCATGGGGGGCAGAGCTCGCCCCACACCAAGGCCTGAGTCTGCCCAGGGAGCCAGCCGCAGGCCCGGCCACGCAGGCTCAGCTCACCTATGATCTTGTCGGAGGCGTTACAGGCCAGAGCGAAGCGCGTGGTCTTGGAGTAGATCTCCATGGTCCTCCTCAAGGCCTGCTGGGCTCCATCTGTCATGCTGGGAGGGGACACACGAGGAGGAAGTCACACCTGGGCACGGGCCCAGGCCACAGCCTCCCCACAACAGCTCAGTACGCACCACACACCCCAGCCCTGGGCAGGGGTCTCCAGCACCAGGCCACCCCCCAGTGGGAAAGCCCATGAGCCACTCTCGGGGTCAGATGGCACCCGGCGCCTGCAGCACCAGAAACAGCGCCCTGGTGAACGCATGAGGCCACTGTCTCCAGGGCTGCTGCCACGCCTGCCCAGGATCTGTCTGGGCCTCAGGAGGGCAGGCTGCACACAGGACTCAGTGCAGAGGCCCTGCGTCCATCACTTGCTGGACCTGGGACTCAGGCAGATCTTCCTAGCCTCAGTGTTACCACTTACAGGTCAGAGATAATGAGGCTGCCTACTTCAGAGGTCGTCAATTAAATGAGAT